CATAAGATAATCATTTGTTACCCTCATTTTGTCTTTTGTCTTTTAAAAGCTTACTAATGCCCACCAGTTTTCTTTATTCAAACTGCAAAACATTTATTCACAAATAGTGATAGCAAGTGCGAGAGACAATTTTCCGCCATAAATGACACAACCAGCCAGTGATGTAACAGGTTGCACGGAGCGAACTAATTGGACCCACTTTGGACAATATTGATCCATTGCCTTTTGTGAGAACCTGGATTAAAGCAGGACATTGTTTCCCCTCTTCTTGGATACAAGGACGGCGACGGCCACAGCCGAGGTCTGTGTGTCGGGTTCCAGTGCGTCGGGTTCCAGTGCGTGAATGTGTGTCAGGTTAGGGAGAGAGAGGTGAGTGTGCTGTGTGTATTCTGTTACAGGGCTTAGTTGTTGCGTTGTGTTGTTGTGTGATTGGCCTTATGGTTAACGATATTAGCCTTAGTGTATTGTGTGCAGAATGTATACTTTGCATAGATTTTGATATTTCTCATGTACAACAGGGATATTTTGGATTGCAAGCAGTGCAAAAGGAAAGGTCAGCAGTTACCAAAATCTGCAAGATTCATCATCTGGTGCAATCTGCTTTTATAGTGTTGATAAGGCATGCTCAGGGCTCAAGTTTGTGTAAATATGATTTTAATGATTAATTTGAGTATCTACCTTTAGGTGAAAGAATGTATTGAATGTTAATACTAAGCTGGCATTTGCCTCTGTGACTAAGTGACCTTTTCAGACAATCATAGCATATTTACCATAAATGAGGCATGCTATGCAGAAAGACCCTAGTGTCCTGTGGCACAGAGATTCCAGCTGCTCAAGACTGAAGCCTGGAAACAGAGCTGCTAGAGGCATTATTCTCTGAGGTGTTTGTCAGTTCCTCACAGTAATGTGAGGCCAATGGTCAACAGAAATAAATGCTCTGGGGGACCAAATGAGATTACAGATGAAGTTTGATCCGAGTGGAGCCAATTCACATCAAAGCCGTATCACAATGTGGAAATAAATAAATTCAATTTACATCCGCTAGCTACAAGGGGACTAATAAACATCTCAAATGATTGCTCTTCTCCTGTGATCTACACTGTAGCCACAAGGCCTGATTAGATACAGTAGAGACCAACAGCAGTTGTAAAGAGCTGGCTTATGGCCAGTCTGGGGCTCATGTGTTGGTTAAGCAGCTCATGGCAGCAGAGAAAACAGTAATACAGCCTGCTGAAGTAGGAAAATACATATTAGTAAAACTAAAAACTAGGTAAATCTACGTTCTTGTGAAAAGAGATTGTATTTATGTAACGATTGCAAACTGTACGTTTCCTGTAAACACAGAAGTTTATTTAAAAAAGAGACTGGGCATGTAACTGCATATATTGACCCGACATCCCAGACAGGTCCAAAACTGAAAATGGGACTTGAAACTACATTTCGTTGCGCAACCCTATTGTACAATGATAACAAATGAACCATGTAACTTTGAGGAAGGGGCCCCCCTTTGTCTAATATTAATATATAATATTAATATTAATGTATATATTAGTATATAAATTGAATTTAATTTTTTATAAAGTCTTTTATGAATATCGTAAAATCAAATTTAGATAATCATATGTTTTCTGGAAAAATTCTTGGCTTGCTAGAGAAATACTGTTGGTCCATTGATCCCAATTAAGACTATAAAAACCCTTTGATGAAATGGTGTGTGTTCCGCTTCTCAACAGCTTACATACTGTTCTTAGATGCATTTTGATTTGTTCCTGAATGCCAGTACTAAGGCTCTGTAAAATCACATATTTACTTAGTTTTAGTTTATTTGACTTAATGTTACTACTGTCAAAGTTCTTCATTTTACTTGCCTTTTTTGGTGGCGTCTGTCCGCATCTGCCACAGTATTTCAACATGGCATAACACCTGCTCTTATGCTGCACCGTCCATTTTTTCACTTCCAATTCAAACACAATTGTATCCGTTCTTCTGTTTAGTGCTCGTAACATTGTATACAATGAATGATATTTGGAAACATTCAGCAGCTACACTGCGGGGATCGGATGGTTTTACAGTACCACAGCCATCAGCCATCATTGACTGGAAGGAGGATATATGAAAATGGCCTGAAATCACATATGAGGACATTTGAATTACTTTGTCTCTTGGTGTAGATGGCTCCTCTATGAGGAACTACAAAGGTATTGTGGTGGGGAAAAAACTATTCAATAGTACCGAGTGAGTCCTATAATACTGAATACTGAAACAAGAAACATTGAGGAAAGAAGTTTGTCTTTAAAGTATTTATTCTCTGTTGCAGAGAAGGCTTCACCGTCATACTGACTGCAGTTCATGCAGAGGATGAGCCAAGAGTTCAGTTTGTCTCCTGCTCTTAAACATGTCATCACACAGTAGGGGGGAACATCAGGTATTTACATTATAACGATTGATCAGCAGTTTCAAGCTCCCCATTGACATTTACATTTTATTACCCATGATTAAACATGTAGTGCAGACCTGTGTCTGCTCTTTCTGGTTGTGAGAGTTATTTAAAAAACACTTTTGACACACGTTTTTTGTAGACCAAAAGACGACAATGCGGAAGCGCCCTTCATGCAAAGGATACCATCGAAACCCAAAGCAAACACACATTGATGGCTGTGGCTGCGATATAAGGTGCCGCCTGCTCATCAAGATCTAATCAAATATTCATACTCACTCTCACACCGATGACATAGCCTTCAGGAGCAATTTTGGCCATAGGCAAAATGTGAAATGGAGGAGCCGGGGATTGAGCACCGATCATCCCATTAGTGGACGACCTGCTTTACTTCTTGAGCCACTGTGCCCAGTTCACTTCCCTTTTCTTTTCTTTAGGGAAAATGTTGCTTCATAAGGCCCATTGACTCAGTTTGACTTTTCACTTCATATAGAGTCATTTCATATTTTCTGTCCTATAGTACTTATATTGTTGGTTCTTTATTGTACTCATTTGTTTTTAAGTTCACACCACCCACTGTTCCTGTGGGATGCAAGCTATATAGAACTTCCACAGTCTACTATTGTGAAAAGTTACATAAGTATGACCCTGTGATATATTGTATCTATGGACAGATTGGACTCTTCAAATGGGAACTCTGTTGAAAACTTTGTCCAATTAGTACAAAGGTCTAACAATCAAATGTAGCCCATTTGATTTATTGTTACATTTCTATTACCTTTGCTCTATGGATGTTCAGCTATCATATTTTGCTACTCATCATTTTTAAGACCCAAACTATGATATGTCGCACTGTAGGTCAACTTGTACCCTCTTGTATGACAAAGAAAACTAATTAAAGCAGCGATTATCAATAACCTTTCATTACAACCAAAACATCATACATGGCCTTAAGGTCTATGAAGACAAGACAAAGTGATGTAGAATTCTGCAGGCATTTTACTGCTGCAAGGCAATTTGTCTCAGTGAAAGCTCCCTGTTAGCACCAGTGTTATGATGCCACAATGCTACCATGATGGCTCTTTTATCTCTTTTCTAGTCTCCAGTGAGCCTATGAGCTTCATAGTTGTTGGTTGGCCTGGATATTAATAGCTGCAGCTGACCATGGTAATGACTAGCTCAGGGAGTGATAGGACACAGCTCCAGCAGCTGCTGTATGGCTGCACTAGTCTGGGATGTTGCTCTAATGAGAAACACTATAAAGACCAACTTCTCTTCTTATCTCTATTTCTTTGAAACACTATAGAGCTGGCCAACATCCCTCAGCTCTAACAGAGTGTTGGAGGCGGCCGAGGTCGTATAGGTTGTCATTTATTGGCCTATTTAATCTCCCTACATATTTCCTCGCCTGAGGCACAGCGCTGTCCCCAACAGACAGAATCAATAGCAGCACTACTGCCAAACCATCCAAGGGCTAACAATAAAACTAGGACAATTACAGTGAGATGGATCAGAGTCTTTAGCAGAAATATATTATTAATATGTTTGGCTGAACGCCAGGAGCCTGAAGGGAGACAAATCGGTGGCAATAAAAAAAGCCAGTTAGTTAACTGGTCACCTGAGAGCCAGCCTGCACACTTTCCCCACATATTGACAGTGATGTGACAGGTCTTTGTACAAGTGTGTGTGTGGGGGTGTAAATGCTACCTACCAGGTGGTAGCCACATGGGGACACTGGTACACTAAATGTCACTGTGGTGGTGTTGCTGTATATTTTCCATGGGATATTTGTTACTTTATTTACCTCTGTTTAAGCAGACAGCTTAATTAAAAATCAATTTGACTGTGGCAGTTTGGAAAGTCAGGGCCTATGGGGTTTCTATCATATTTACAAAAAGGTCCTATGAATACAGTATTAAAATTCATACAGCAGAGTATGATAGTTGAAGAATCTCACATGGCGAGCAAAGTCTAGACGGCAGATTGCTGCTTGATCCTTAATAAGGGAATGTGGCTGAACTCAATTTGAAATGAGTAACCAGATATTCCCAAGACCCAATAAAAAAAATGGCAAAGAAGACTGATTTAAGTTAATTAGTGAACATTTGTTTTTAAGTGAATCAGAGCAGCAGAGTAGTGTTTTTTTTGGATTTTCTTACCAGGGATTACATGTTGCTTTATTTTTGAGACTCAGAAATGATTCTATACCCATATCCATCTCTTTTATCGCAGCTCTTGTATTTGAAAAAGCCTGGTTTTCTTTCGGGGTTTTTTTTGCCATGGGTTCAGTTACTCCTGCTACAAAAAATGTCACCCCAACCGTTAAGTAAAACAAGAGCATTTTTTTTCTTGGAGCTTATTGAGGGCTGTTTGGAACTTCTCAGGAAACTCTTTTTGCTGCGACACATGATCTACTTGTTCAAACTAACGTGACTTGCTGCTGAAATGCTGAAATTTCACTTTCTTTCAGCTTAATTCCCTCTCCCTTTGTGTCTTATTCTCTGTTTCTGTCTGAAATCTCTCTATCTCTGACTGATTTCTTTCTCTGTCTGTGTCTCTGCAGCCTTTGTGTTGAGCTGTGTCTTCCCCCAGCGACCTCTCTACGGTGATGTATCAGTGAGCAGTCTCCACTCTGGAGGGGAGGCTTTCTTCTCCTGCCTGACCGGCTACCAGCTGCAAGGCTCCAGTATGCTCACCTGCCGCAATGCTAGCACCCCCTACTGGAGTGGCAAGGAACCACACTGCCTAGGTGAGGCAACCAGAACCAGGAGGAAAGACATTCACAGCTCATCCTTCATTTCCTCAGCCCATAGATAGGAAGGACAGCAACCAAACATGTTAGGACAACTTCAGATAATAAGAGAGATGTCCTTGTATTTTCGTTTTATTTTCTCCACTATATTAAAACTGTTGTTTATCTAAAATAATAATACATCTCATACAATTATATCATATATTAGTGAAGTAATGAACACAATTCAATCATTATTATTAGAAATATTTGCCATTGTGTTGTTATCATTATTCTAAACTCTGTTAACCTGTAAATTACATCTAAAAATGATAACACAGATGTTACTTCACGGTGTTGTAGTGATTGGCACTGTTGCCTCACAGCAAGATGGCAACGGGAGTTTGTTCCTGTCAGCATGGGTTGTCTCCGGGTTCTCCAGCTTCCTCCCACAGTCCAAAGACATGAAGCTTGGGTCAATTGATGACTCCAAATTGCCCGTAGGTGTGAATGTGAGTGTGAATGGTTGTCTGTCTCTTTGTGTCAGCCCTGAGATAGTCTGGCTACCTGTCCAGGTGAACCCTGCCTTCACACAATGCCAGCTGGGATCGGCTCCAGCTCCTACTGCTGTTGTGGCAGTTTGCATTGCAAGTTAAGTTGGCCCTTCGAGCCCTGACCTCTGACTCAATGGGGTCGTATACTGTCCCCCGCCAGCCTTTCAATTCCCATCAACAATCAAAGCATTTTTGGTTATTGTTTCAGAAGACTTGCAGCCAAGAGTTATCTGTTGGACCTTCAGGTCCTTTTGCATGACGGGCATAGATAGAGCCAGACCTGGACTTCCACAGGAGTGTGTGGATGATGAATGTTTTTCTTTCTTTGCTCCTATAAGGCTGGCTGATGAATAAGAAGTGACCACTTTACTCCTGATCATACTGATCGACTGAAGGACTGCTCAGGGAATGTTTCCCTGAAAGCAATTTCAAACGTGTGTGTGTGTGTGTGTGTGTCAGAGCAGGTGTATTGAGGTGTGATTACTGAAGGCTAGGCAGGATGCCACTGGGTTTATTCTTCCTGCTCTGCTTTAATTAAACTTTGTCTGCATGACCTGATCAGCTGGGACACAAAACACACACACACACACACACACCTTCCCATAGCTGTAGATGGATTCTCTGTGAGTGTTGATATCTGATTCTATCTCTGACGATGTTATCTTTCTAACCTAATTTCTTGGTTTCCAACATGCAGCTCTTGAATTTAAAATGCTATACAACTCCTAAATGTTGTAAAAAAATTCTATTCTTAAATGTCTAGTCTTGATGTTGGTGATTTGAGCTTTCAATGCAATCGAAAACAACATAACCATATAATTATTTCCATTAGCACAACAACAGTGTCAGTTTCTTTTTTGAAAACACAAATATTTCATTCTCTCGTTTGTTCTACTTGATCACATTTTTTGGGTGCTGTGCAACACAACACTTCTTGCACAGACGTTTCACTTAAAAGTCTTTGAGCTTATGACAGGCCATTATGTTTTTCTAGAGACAGCAGAGTAGAAGTGATTGATTAATGAGTCAGAACAGTACTTGAGTTAAAAAAGAGAAAGTAGGAGCAGCAGATGTTTATTATGATGTGACTGCTGTGGAAATGTACATTATTGTGAATTTACCATGTGAGATACTACATGGAATTCCAGCCTTTATTGGTTCAATTTCACAGCTCATATGGAAAGTGATTTCTGGTGCAATCATGAAAAAAGAACAGCATCCATGTCCTTTCTGGGCTGGTCTACTTCCTGTTTGTCTATACTGACACCAGAGTTTAATTTGGGTTATCTATGGTCTGCTGATGCTCTGAGCACCAGCTTATGAACTTGAAGTTGACATTCAATGTATTCAGTTGTGCATTTCATCTCCACATTCCCTCCTTCTCCTCTCTCTCTCAGCTGCTTGTGGTGGTTTGATCAGGAACGTCACAGTCGGCCGGATCGTCTCTCCTGGTTTTCCCAGCAACTACAGCAACAACCTGACCTGCCACTGGCTGCTGGAGGCCCCTGAGGGCCAGAGAATACATATCCACTTTGAGAAGGTGGCGCTGGCCGAGGATGATGATCGGTAAGCAAGACCTTCAGCCTTTTTACGAGGAAGGTTGAACATTGTAAACAGTAAAACTGTGTATTTTCTTTAAACTAACACTACATCTGGAGTGGTCGCCTGGCAACCGAAACCTGTGAATAAGATTCATTGTATTCAGCTTTCACTTATTGTCATTTAAAAAATACCCAGATTTTTTCAAAGGGGAGAAGCAGTTTCAAGTGATTTTCTGTTGCATTATAAATTCCACAGGAGTGTTTTCTGCAGTCATAAGATGCCGTTCAGTACATTTGATAGTAAATAGGCTTCTCTGGTGGTGGTGGTGAAGCCATCTCAGAATCTGATTCATTTATTACATGTGAAAATGAAGGAGCCAATGATAACGCTGCACATCAGACATTAAAAATAAAAAATACAAAGTAACCCTGTGGAGATTTTGACCATTAGTAGCGCTTTGGAGCTGTATTTTCATGAGTTTAGTACAAGCTTGCACATGCAACTATCACACGTCCACTTATGAGAAGAAGAATAGTATCAACAGGAATAAACAAAAGCAGTATTTAAAATGCTCTAGAATGTTTCATGAGGAAGGAAATGTGTGTTCAGCACATATGTTAGACCGAAAGGACACACAGATCCCGTTTTAATGCATTTCTGTGTTGTCTTTTTTTATTGTCTTTTCCCGTTGAAGGGTTTTGGGGTAGTTTTTCCTACTCTGAAGCAAGGGTCTACAGAAAATGGGCCAATAAAAATAAAACTGAGTTTACTCATTGAAAATAAATTAAATAAATAAATGCTGGTCTTTCACTTTCCCTAAACAAGCTGCTGAGATTTATTGCCTCCCCCACTGCTCTTTCTCAAACTACCTCCAGCCATTTCAAGTACCTAGAAGTTTGTTTAAAGGTATTCCTATGGCAACCAACCAATAGAGGGATAAAAGCTCTGGAAAATAATCTGCAGTGAACGGTATCAGTGGAGTTTTAGTGTGACAAGATGATCATAACCCTGATGTAGCGTTGTTGCTGGTAGCAGATTTAATAAATAACAATTCATTAATATAAATGTATGACTATTATCAGTAATTCAATAATGATTTATAAACCCATACATTTGTATAAAAGAATGATGGCACGTGGCTTACGCCATAAACCACCATTAGTTTCACTAACAGAATTTAACAGAATATTCAATTTTAGACCCCACCCACAACTTCAAAATTTGATATTAATCAATTAAATCTTAATCTCAGGGTTGCTACGGAGTTCTTCTCAAGGTGTACAGGGACTTATTTCACACAAATCAAATTTAAAAAGAATATGTATTTGACTAACTACATAACTAAACTACGAAACAGAAAGTAAATGAATAAACGATAAAATAAACAAAATTAATGGAATGAATGAAGAATATGATGAACAGTACAATGAATAACGATGAACTACCACTAAATGAAAAGGATTACATGTGACCAGGTAGAATCATTGATTTCTATCAATTCAATTTGTCGTTTGTACCTTCAATTTAATTCAAAACATTTAAGCACCATGGGAACCACCAGGGAAGATTGTGAAACCCCTTTATATTTGTTCTAATTTAAATTTGATTTAGATCTTTAAGTCTAAAGCTTATTTATCCGTTTTATTAAAATTGGATTATTTTATTATGTGACTTAAATTTATTTGGCCGAGGAACATCAAACTCATTTACATCTGGGAATGGTATTGTTTCACCTGACGGCTCTGATGGGCAAATCAGAGGTTGAGCTGCATGCAGTGGTGGTTGTTCCTTCGTGGCCATCTCTACATCTTGAAAGTTGTTGGATGATGCTAGTTGTTAAATCGCACTCTTCCATCTCTACCTCGATTCGACTTTCTCTGATAACTTTGGAACCTGGTCGTCTTCTTCGTTGGGTTGAACAGTTCTTCCTAATCTTCATCTTTCTCAGCAGGATGCTAAGTCATATTATCACCCCCCTTCGTAGCAGCAGGGGTCATTATGGCACCTTTGCCAGTTTAAAAAGTATTTCATCTCAGAGTCTTTTCTTTTAGAGTCTCTTGCTCTCAATAGTTGCTGGAATAAATCGTCAGCACGTTGGTGCATCGCAGGCCGGAGCTGCAGGGCACAACAGTTGGCACAGGATGGCCAATCAGGCACACAATACGAGAGAAGAGGCGGAACCGGCAGAGCCACGAGGGAGAGATCCTCAATGTCCTCACTATAACCTGATCAATTAAAGATTGTGAATTAAACGATTACACAACATAGACAGACATTGTTATCGTCAAATAGACAGACCTCTGTAGATATACATCTATGTGTACCTACACATGCATATCAAATTAATTGATAGGATTAAACTCAACATTCTTGCACAATCCACTTTCCTGGGTGAGAGACACAAAAGAAAGGGGGAAATGTCCCTCCCCCCTACCTGCAAGTTGTGTATCAACCACAGCACAAGACCAGCAGAGTAATTAAACATCCAGTTAATATGACAGGGAACTACAAGAATTGTAAACAGATTTGGCTATCATGAAATTAACTACACATAACCTTTATAAACTCAGATGTTTAATCTATACACATATACATACATATACACACATACATATATATATATATATATATATACATATATATACATATATACATATACACATATATATATATACATATACACGTATATATACATATACACGTGTATATATATATATACACATGTATATATACATATACATATATACATATACATATGTATATACATATACATATACATATACATATACGTATATACATATACATATACGTATATACATATATATATACATATACGTATATCTATATGTATGTATATATATATATGTGTGTATATGTGTATATGTATATGTATGTATATATGTATATGTATATATGTATATGTATATGTATATATATATATACATATATACATATATATATATATATATATGTATATGTATATATATAT